TTCGAGCTCGGTACCCGTTTTCTGGGAGCTTTAACAGATTTTTTTTCCATTTTGAAATGAATTCTGGGCTGAAAAATGACTAAAAGTGAATATAAGCATTGTGAAAATTCCCTCCAACCTATCAGAAAAACATTTTCCAAACACCGGAAAATGGTTTTCCTCTTTCTTGCATACGGCCTCAGAAAAAGGAAATCTGGAAATTCGAAAAAATAAGACATTTGGAAGTTCAAAGATTGGTGAATTCAAAAAATTGGTAGTACGAAAATTTTAATTTAAACACACAGAAGTTCTTTTTTTAAACTTTTGTAATTTGAGTTTTTTTTTAATTTTGGAATCTAGAAATTCCAATTTTCAGAAATTTGAAAATCCAGAATTTCGGAATTTGAGAAGTTTGCACTCCATTACATCCAAACTTTCAGCGATTCGAATACTTTAAAATTCCAGAATTTATATTTAGTTATTTTTTGAAATTCAGCGTTCTAAATATCACAAAAGTTTGAGCTTCTGAATCACAAAATCTAGCTTTTCCGAATAACGAATTTCTTATTTTCCGAATATTCAATTCCCGAACTTCAGGATTTCAGGATTTCTGACTTTCCGAACTTTTTTCAAAGATCCAGGAAATCGAAAATTTGAAAATTTCTGAATGAAGATTCTGAGAAAATCGGAAGTTCTAAAATTCGGAACTTTATTCTCTTGGTCAGTTTGTTCTTGATCTGAATTTTTCCAACCAACACGTGTGACCGTACTTCTAGTACCTTTTTTGGAATCAAGATTAGATAAGGGGTGACAAAAGGCAAGCTCATTCAGAAAATGTATTTTGAACGGTGCTAGAGGATAAGAACATTCGGAAATGCTTTCAATTGCGTTTCTATTGGAAAGAGTAGGTTCCCTTTTCACATAATTTTTCATGTTGTTCGATTTCAGATTGTCTTATTCGGATCGTCTTTTCTATTTCTATTTCCTCTCATCAATTGTTCATCAAAAAAGAAATTTGAGACTGATGGAAAAGTACTTTTAAAAAATTATTTCCATTAATTTTAAGTTTATATTCCAGGCTGATCTGGTACCCAAAAGTGTTACTCCACCCGTATCTTCTCCAGTTAACGATGAATCGAGTAAACAGGCTCCGCCTACTTCTCAGTAAGAAAATGTTTTTAAAATGTATTTCTTTTTTATATTCCAGAACTCCACCGGCTCGAACTCCTGTTGAAAAAACTGGAAGTGTGCAGGAAGACACTCTTGCGTAAGACTCGGAATTCTCGTTTTGGCTATGAAATGTATTCTTTAGAAACGTCAAATCACTGCCTCCAGAGAAGTCAGAAGCTCCAGACAGTAAGAAGAAAAAGAAGAAATAAGATTTGCGTTATTCAATGAGAACTTCTTTAATTTTTTTACTTACAAATTGTACAATGAATTGATTGATTAGTGGATTACTATGCGGTGTCCAATTTTCTGTAATTTCAGTTCTTTCGTTTCTTGGCAAGGGTTTTTATGTTTATTCTCAGCGGGTCATTGAGAAAAGAAAAAGAAACAACAGTTTGATAAGAAGGGTCAGGAGGGAAAAAAAGAAAAAAATCAGAAGAAAAAAAGAGCAGTTCAATGAAAAAATGCCGAAATTTGTTAGTGAGAAAGTAAAGAAGCGCAACGAACAGAGCTGGGGATGAATTTTCCATGGGAAATCCCCCGATAAAAAAAAACACTACTCGAAGTAAAAAGGGGAAAGAAAGAGAAGAAGAAGAGATGAAAGCTGAAAATACTGGGAAATAATTAGGCGATGAAGAAGAAAGGGATGATGAGAAATTATGCCTATTTTCAGATTCGAATTGAGTGGGGGTATTATGCTAGACAAAAAGAGGGCAATGTAAAAAAAGAGAATTAGGTTGTGTGCTCATCTTTACACCGGAACAAAAGTTCACATTAAATGGGGTAGTGAAAATAAAAAAAATGAAAAAAGGGGAGAACTTCTGAAAGAACACACAGACATCTGAAAACACAAAAATTGCATAGTTCGTAGGAGGTTGGGTAAATAAACAAGAGAACGCTTTGATAAAAATATAAGAAAGGATACAGTAGTTTCAAAGTTTTGGAGGGATTATTAAAGTAAAAAAAGAAACAGAATAGAATTCTAATTGGAAATCATTACAAACAACGAGTCTAGAGGTTATTTGTCTCCTTGATATTTCCGCGAGATGTGGACCGTGCTGAAATATGAAACATGAGAAATTGAATACCGTATTTCCTCTAATAGAAGCCCACCCTGGATGTGCATTTTTCTTTTCGGCTAGTGCAGACATACTTTTTTTTTGTTTATTTTTCAAGTAATTTCCGTCAATTCTTGTCGTTTTATAGCTATTCCAGTTCAGTGAAATATTGAAAGGCTTCTAATTTGAGAGTGTTCTCTAAAATTAGTTGACCCCAAGAAGGAAGGTTGAAAAACAGAAGCCCATGGGCCTCCTCTGAGATTTTATGGTACATGTGGGAGGACGAAAAAAAAACAAACTCTTTTTTCACAGACTATTTCGCTTTTTCCTCAAAGTTATAGACTTAGGCTTAAACACCCTATACCTAAGATCCCATGTGCCATTTGAACCAATGAACCCTTTTTCGATGTACCCTTGAATCCTGGACCAGTAGCCTTTAAAAAAATATATCTCTAAAAACAAAACCTACCCCGATTTTCGGAATCAACTTGAAGTCGCAATTGCCGACTGATTTCACGCAGTCGAGCGGCCGACTGTCCGGTCAAACTGGGCTCCCGACGATCGAGTCCAGCTTGGAATGCTTTCACGACACGAATCTGGAACAGAAAAGATTATTTGACAAGCAAAAGAAGCGAATCACACATTGGTTGTGATAGAAAGAGTGAGCAGAACACCAATTAGAACAGAAAACTGAGAGCAGATTCATCAGCGACACAAGTGTATTCATGTGGAAATTGACTAAGTAAACCGATTAATTAGAAGTTTGAAGAAAACCAAATCTAGTGTTCGTGTTTTTAGCTAAACTGACAGGAATCGAAAAATTTGATACGATACATTTGTTATCGTTTAGTAATTCAATTTTGACTGTTCTTATAGAAATGGTTTTCTTTTAATTATAAAAAATTTGATAAAGAGTTAAAGTTCCAAAATTTCGAAAAAATTAGAATCACACTAGAACTCAGATAGATGAGCAATTGTGGTGTGAAATTGAAATTAGGAGAAGGTGGGATTACTCAGAAAAACTCAAACTGTGTGATGTCAATTCTAGAGTTTAGAATCAGTAAACCAATGTTTAATACTGAAGAAGAAAGGGTGACCGTTAGTTCGAAAGTTGGAAAAGAACAAATTAGAAGAAGGTCAATAAGGGGATTGTGAAACTTCTATTAGTCCTAAAAATAAGACCGTTGAAACATACAGTACCGGTCAATGAGATATACTCCTCGAAATGGTCAAAATAGCCAAAAAAAATCAACTGAAATCCACTTTTTTCAATATATTTTTGACCGTTACTGTATCTCAATCTCCATCTCAAAAGTCTAAAACTCTAAAAAATAATTAATTGAAACAGTAACTAATAAAATTTCCAGCCAAATCGGAATTTTAATATTTAACTAAAATTTAAAATATACATATTTACATCCTATTAATCCCTAAACTATAAATGTATCTCTACTAATTTCTCATCACAAAAGCTTGCACAACGACGACTAATAACGAGGAAAAACAATGCACAAATGTGAACGATCATCATTACAAAGTCACAACACGACATCTAAAAGGAGGGGTCTCTCTCATCATTCTTCGTTCAAAAAAAGTCATTCTCTGATTATTGTGTCAGTCAGAATTCGTCAATCAAAAGTTAATGAAAAGATCAGGGGAGAAACGGGGGAAGTACGATTATGCGGGGGTGCTGATAATATCGATTAGCTATCGATAATATCAAGAGGATGATTCTTACTGCTTGATCAGTCGGTGCACTGCTCAACGGCACCGGGATCAGATGATCCGAGCGCTCTCCGCCAATAACCTGTAAACTTTAGACGATGTTCCCATGGGGCAGAACATTTAAGAACTATTTTCAGACGGGAGACTCTATTTTTGTTCATTCTGTGCTCAACTTTCACACTTGAGCACGTTAACACGATGATTGTCGTGCAGGTAGAGGAAAGATGAAAAATACTGGGAAAGCGAAATCAGGAGAGATGTGTTCATTGTGGTGTGGAATTTGCTAAAAAATACATGCTGATAACACGATATAGACTGTATTGAGTTGTAGTATTTTTATTTTCAAACCACATTGAATTATAGAAGTCTAAAAATTTCAAAAAATAAGATAAAGTGAGAAAAACTATAAAGTCCGTTGTTCAGTAACTGAAACATGGAGGGTGGGTGTTTAAAAGAGAAACAGGGAAGAACAAGAGTTCAGCAAGAAGAATTTCGAAAAATAAAACAAAATTTGTCAAAGAAAAAACCATATAAATCTGAAAGATGTGAAGAAAGGAGGAAGGAGGTGATGAGCAGTTTAAGTTTAGAAAAAAAGAAGTCGTGTCTATGATTTAAGAGACACTTGGCAACAACTGGTGAGGCTACCGAGACCGTTACAGCCAGTTTTGAAAGTGATGAAAAATTGCACAAAGTATTGACTGATTTCAGAATAACTACAATTTTTCTTGCAGTGGGGGAGGGGGTGTTCTACCAGTAAAACATTTAAAATTAAATATTACTCAACGAAAAGGTAAAAATGAAAAGAGGAAAACAAATAAAAAATCAGGTCTATCAGTGAGTTAGAAAGTATTCCAATTTAATTAAAGAGCTCAAGAAGACATACACGAAAATCACTACAGTAACTGAAAAGACGGGGATCGAGAGATAGGGTTGGATAGAGCAAGAGAGACATTTTAGAGATTTATGATAGCTTACGAGGACTAAATCCCTAGAATAGCTCTCCTTTTAACAACAATTGAATCAAAAAATTACACGTGGGCTACAGAAACCGGAGTATCAAGAGACATGCTCTTGTTGATACTTCGCTGCGTTTGAGTATATGAGGAATTTGTATCAGGAGACCATTGTTGCACCAACGGAACTTTCTCCGTCTTCCCGTTGGATTCTTGTTTTTGCGATCCTGCAGGTGCTCCATTTCCCCCAGCATTTCCATTTTCCACAACAATGTGTGGTTGTGGTGATGGCGTTCTTGGCTGTTGGTGATGATAATAGGGATAGGGTTGTGGAGATTGTCTAAGAGAGATCGCAGCCATTGCATTCCGAGCACCGGCTGGATCAGGAGACGCTGCTGTCGTCGTGTGTCTTCCTCCTCCCCAGAATCCGCCACGCATCGACTGAACGGAATGAGTGGATGCAATCGAACGACGTTCGTCGAATTCTTCCAGAGAAGAGCGGAACGCTTTGACAACTCGCAACTGAAAATTTTGGTTTGAGAAAAAATATAATCGGTCAAATGAATAAAACAATGCGAACAATGAAAAAAACGATACAAAAAAGAAAAAACGAAGAATTAATGTCACATGGAACCTCTTCCTCCTCCTCCTCCTCCTCCTCCCTATTTACATTTCTCCTCCAGAAGAAGGATTTTATCAAAGTTTCAACTAGAAAATTTCCAGCGAAATATGAGCAACACACTCCCAGACGAGCAGCGGAAAACCGTGTTAGTATTATTATTGTTGGCATTATGTGGGGGTGTAATGACCAGCGGAAGGGAACGAAGGAAAATATGGTCGTCAAGGAAAATTTCCAGAGAAAAATATGAAGAATTTTCTCACTCAAATAAAATTATTTCGAAAAGAGGAAACGCAGACAGTATACGATGTATATAGCAGTTTTAAATAGAAGCAAGTGTTATTTTCGCCGTTCCGCAGTATTCGATATACACAGGACTCATTCGGTGCATCATACATCTTGTAAAGTTAGTTGGTGAGATCAGACAGCAGAACAATCCAACGAATGTGATCCGAATGTTGAAAAAATCCAGGTAGTTGGCTCCGAGACTCCGAGTTAGAAAATCAATTCATGCTCAACGCAATTCAAAAGGTTCGCAAAAGAAAAAAAGGAAACGTGTAATTTAGTCTAATCAAAGCCCTAGCAATTTCAAAACATTTCTTATCGATTTGAAATAATTTCAGCGGTTAGGAAACACCGGGAGATAGGGGTAAAAACAGAAGGGTGGTGGTTGAATGTTGCTCATTTTCACTGCTTTCAAAATTCCAAAAAGTTCAAGGGAGGAGTGAGGAAAAAGACTGACACACATGATTTTTTTTCTTAAATTTCGCGTTTCTCAATTTTCATAATAGACTCGGGTTTTTTAGGTTCCTTTCTGTTTTGCTCGACAACAACTATATCATTGCAAAAAAGAGTAAAATTCCCCTCTCATTGACAAAATGAAAGGTAAATAATAACCACACAAAAACAAAACAATAGGGAGAAAATGTACCGGTGTTGCTCTCTTCTTTTTCGGAACAATTTTACCTGCACAACACAAAGGAAATCCATTTTTCGATGGTGAGAGTTGGTGGTCGTTGACATATTTGTGGATAGGGTTTCAGTCGATTTTCAGAAACTCTCTGAGAAGGAAGAGGAGGAGAAGGAAGACACCACACAACATAGGGTTTTCTGTTGCAAATGTCTACTTGTGGGTAACACGATTCATACTTTTTCCGGTAGTGATTCGACTTGAAATTTAGAATTTCAGGTTTGAAAAAAACCACTTTTTCTCGAACTTGTGATGTATAAAAATAAAAATAAGAAGGAATGCGTAAGGGAAAACCAAAGTATAGATAAGGGCAATGTAGGTCATCATCATCATCATAATTTTCTCTTTTTAAAAAGTAGTTATAAATGTTCATGCCATATCTTAATTGTGTGAAAAACCACACACCACAATCACACTCTTTTTGTTTTGTTCAATATGCTAGAATTTCTCAGCTATTTTTTCATCTTTCTTCCGCCTTTCGCTGGTGTTTCGCTCTAATAGAGAGAGGGTGTTGCTCAATTTTTCGTTTGAAAATTTTCAGATATAGAAAACTTGTCAAAATGCGAATAAGGAGAAAGAAGAGAGAAGAACTACATTACTTCTTCTTCCTTTTTTCTTTTCTTGTTGTTTTTTTCATGTCACAGTTTATTTTCTATTAACATTTGAATTTTGTTTCCGTTTTTTTAAATGAAATAAACTGAAGCTGAGAGAATTGAAGAGAGAAGCAACTGAATAGAAGAGGAAAACTTTTTTCGATATTTTTTGTCTGAATTTCCCGGTCTGTAGTTTGTTTTTCGTTCTGAAAGGGTAGCAGGTTTCGAAGACTGACCTGAGTTTGAAGCCGAGTCAATCCGCGAACCCAAAGTATTTGCCCGGATCTCTTCTCGTGAGTGTCGGAATCTTCGTAATCGGGCATCAATGGATCATTAGTTGGGGCTTCTCCGGATCCAATTGTCATGTTAGCTGGAAGAGATCCAGTTGGGATACTAGTGACGATCTGAAAATTAGAATTAATATTAACTGAATCAAAATACAATGTGTTACTTGTCCCCAGAGGAGGGTTCCAACTCCGAAAGCCAAGCACCAAAGCCATTCAGTTGTGTTCAAAGCGGAAGTACTGAACCAGCGACCACCGAATTGAACGATAACAACTTGTGAGATCATAGTGGCAATCCAGATTACATAGTAGATTGGGTTAGAGAAAAGACCCTTGAAGATGTTACGTTCTCCGTGAATCTTTCTAGCATTGATTTCGTTGAAGAGAGTCATCATGACGAAGGTATTGAAGACAATGGTAAAATGTTTGGATGGGGGAGAGTGGAGTGGAGCCCATCTTCCTGATGGAATGCTGAAGCAAACCTCTCCATAGAAAATGAGAGTGAACAAGACAACGAGTTGATAGACAGCATGTCCCAAAATATTCTTGCTCATCGTTCTTGAGATGAGTGGAGAAGTACGTCCATATGGCTTTCTTTTGAGCAACTCTTCAGTTGGCATTTCAGTAGCCAAAGCCAATGAGGCAAGAGTGTCCATGATCAAGTTAACCCAGAGCATCTGTACGGCTTTCAGAGGAGTATCCTGGATGGCACAAGCTCCGACGAATGCGACAACGACAGCGACAACGTTGACAGTCAATTGGAATTGCAAGAATTTGGCGATCGAATCATATACGTTACGTCCCCACATGACAGCCTTCACGATGGAAGTGAAGTTATCATCAGTCAAAATAATATCAGAAGCTTCCTTAGCAACATCAGTTCCGGCAATTCCCATAGCAAATCCAACATCGGCTTTTTGAGAGCTGGTCCGTCATTTGTTCCGTCTCCGGTGACAGCAACGACTTCTCTAGAATCGGTAACACGAGAGTCAATGATTCCTTTGACCAAAGTGTACTTATCGGATGGTTGAGCACGAGCCAACACACGGAGTTTTGGCCAGATCAGGTCAAGCTTCTCCTGTGAAACTTCTCCGTTCTCGTCACGAATTCTAGCATTGAATTCCTTTCCTTCCAAAGCAATGAAGTCTTCTCCTGGTTTCAAAATTCCACAAGCAGTGGCAATAGATCTAGCCGTATTGATGTTGTCTCCTGTGACCATTCTGACAGTGATTCCAGCTTCCTGGCAACGAGTGATAGCGGCTGGTACTTCTGGACGTACTGGATCTTGAATTCCGAGAATAGCAATAGCGGTCATATCTCCAACAATAGATTCCTCATTCTCCCAATCTGGTTCAGATGAATAGGCAATTTGGTTATCCGAGGTCTTCTTGGCGGCTGGAACGTAATCCTTGTAAGCTACGCAGATTGTACGAAGACCATCAGAAGCCATTGGTTCGATAACATCACGGACCAAGTTTTCGGCATCTTTTGAGCTGAATTTGGTGAGAGATCCATTCTTCCCGAGGAAGTATTTGCATCTTTTAGTAACGATTTCAGACGCTCCTTTGCTGAATACACGGTATCCACCGTCCGGAAGATTGACTACGGTAGACATGCTTTTTCTGACAGAATTGAAGGTGTAAACCTTTGGAATGGTTTCTTCTGGATGACGATCACGAATTTCTTGATAAGATTTTCCGAGAGCAAGAACGAATCCGAGCATTCCACATTCGGTTTTGTTTCCAAGTTGAGTAGCCTGTTCTCCGAGTTGCTTTGGTGGAATGACCTGGGACGAATAGGAAGAGTTAATCGAAATACAGTCCATCATGAGTTTAGCGGTGTTTTGATCCAAAGTTTCAATTTTTGGAGTGTCCTTGTGATGCACTTCGTTGATGTACGACTGAACAACTGTCATTCGGTTGGTGGTGAGAGTTCCTGTCTTGTCAGAACAAATAGATGTGGCATTTCCCATGGTTTCGCAAGCATCCAAATGACGAACCAAATTGTTGTCAAGCATCATCTTCTTGACAGAGTAAGCAAGAGATAGAGTGACAGCAAGTGGAAGACCTTCTGGAACGGCTACTACCAAAACTGTTACTCCAATGATGAGGAAGTTGATGAAGTGTTGGAAGTCGGCAAGGGAGAAGGATTTTCCATTAATAGCATATGTAGAGATACAGAAACGAATGATGAGAATGAGTACGGTGCAACCAGCCACGAAAGATCCTAGAAAAATTGCACTATTTAATTTTCAAAAACCTCCAACTAAACTTACCAGCATATCCGATTTGAATAGCCAATCGAGTGAGTTTAGCTTGAAGCACAGATCTCTCCTTCTTTCCATCAGCCTCAGCGGCAGCAACAGCCTTTCCATTAGCCATACCATCCTCGCCTTTTGAATCTGTAAACGGTATTAATTATAATCAAATGGCCATTGCATAGTAAGATATTCCAATGAATGTTAGCAACACAGAAGAGATGAACAGAGTATTAAAAAAGAGAAGTGAAAATGAATAGCGATCTAAAAACAACGAAAAATGGTAGGAACGGGAATATTCGGGTGGATTAAATTGCCAGCGATCAGTGGACCTAGGATGCATAGCTACTAAACTCTCAGCTTTTGTTGCACAACATCCATTCCAGCATCTACTGACTGTGACAATCTACCGTATATATCGTTCATACTTTTCCGTACGTTTTTAAAAGCTAATTCATATCATTTATCACTTTTTGTAGTCCATCTCTTTCTGGTACGGCGATGGTCATAGCAGACATCAATACTCACCGAGCAGTGCTTGTGCCGTTCCTTCTTCAGCTCCAGATGCTCCATCGCCTCCTGAAACAAGGTCAAACCTCTATGAGAGAAATAGAAGATCTATTATTTCCGGTGATTCAAAAGAGAAATATAACCAAGTGATAGATACGAGTATGGTTTCGTTTTTCTATTCACTTGATAATATTCACTTTTGGGGTAACAGGGATAAACGACACCGAAATGTATAAAATTGGGGAAAAGAATGGTAGCTCAGGCGAATAATCACAAAACACCACCATTAGCATCGTCATGAAATCATCCACTATGAATAGAAGAAAGGAGAGGAAGGAAAAGAGAATCTGAAGCACCAAAAAAGATAAAGAGAAGAGACGATCAGTTTGTAGTGAAAGAGGTGAAAACGGCGATACAGTAAGAACCAACCACGTTTACATTTGTGTTCGAGTGAATAGTGTGTGGGTGAAAAGAGAAAAGAATCAGAAGAAGAAAGTGAGAATAGGATAGGACGACCAAATACGAAGAAGAGACGATGTTGACGAACGAGCAGAGTCAGAATAGACACGAAGAAGACCTAACAACGACGATTCAGAAGAGAGAAGTAGTGATAGCAGGAGAGGGGAAACTACCATTTTGAGCTTGAGCCTGATGATGAGAATCACGATGCTCACGATGATGATGGTGGTGAGATTTGACCGACGATCGAGAACGTCGTTCTGTAAACTGATTAGAGAGTAGGGAAAGTGAGGAGGGATTCAATATGAAAAAAGGCAAGAAGTGGATGAAAGAGAGCGAGAGAAAATGCGGAGAGCTGAGTTATTTGAAGACACAAACAGCCGAAGAAAAAAAGCTACGGAAATTAATGATTTTGTTTCCGAGTATCATAATCCATACCCTCTCTCTTGGCAGTCTTTCGTTCTTCCTCAGCCACAGTCTTGGCAGCTCCGAGCAGTGTCATGATGATTCCAGTTTGTGAGTTAACTCCGACAGCTGTCACCAACATCTGCAATGGGATAGATGAAGATTTTCAGGCTTAACTAACTCAACTTTGGTTTCGAAAACAACCGAGACACTTTACTATGAGTTTCAAAAGAAGAATAGCTGGAGTAATATTGAAACAAAATTACTAACCTTTCCAGATCCTTCCATAACGTGCGTTCCAGACAAAATGATTGGGTCGTGCTCGGGACTTTTCCTGATCTGATCGGATTCTCCGGTGAGCGAAGATTCGTCCATTTTAAGATCGTTTGACTGGATAAGTACTCCATCAGAAGGAATCAAGTCTCCGTATTTAATCTGAGCAATGTCTCCAACAACCAATTCATTAACAACGACTTGGATCGATTGACCTCCACGAAGGACGAAGAATCGGTGTTCAGTCTCGATTTTAGCCTGGAGTCCGCGGAATTGACGTTCTTTGGTGTAATCATTGAGAGCGGTAACAAGGACAACAACAATAACCGATATGAGAATAGCCACGCCTTCAATCCATCCGGCATCATGTTCACTGTCATCAGAACCAGCTGAAATTTCAGTTCAGTTTTTCGAATTCTCTTTTCGGAGTTCAAAACAAACCAGTATCTTCTCCCGGCGGCCTGTAGAACGAAAGGGCAAGTGATACAATAGCAGAAACCAGCAAAATCACCAGTGTGACGTCCTGAAATCGTTGTTAACCGGTGATTTCTCCACAAAAAATCCCCAAATTTTTTCTCGTCTAGGTCCTTTTGGGGGTGGCGGTGAGTTCACCGCCGCAAACCCACCCACTCATGCATATTCAATAATTTCCCCTCTTTTGCTTTTTTCTTTTCATTTTTCCTTACTTGCGCACCGCTTTGTGTTGCTCATAAAAAGCAGAAGAAGGAAAAGAATGAGATAGAGAAAATGTTGCGGGAGTTTCGTGTGCTAAAAGAGCTTCGAAACTTGTGTGAGAATGCAGGAAACGCAGAGAGAATGCTCTTGGGAGAGCATTCATTCTTTAGAAGAAGAAGAAGCTCTTGGCAGCTTGAAAGGAAAATGAGGAAGAACAAAACGTAGATGCGAAATGGTTATTTTTTCACAATATGGATATTGAGCAGGTCAAAAACAGAGATTCAAAGAATGTTTTTGAGGACAATAGTTTTTTTAGGAATGATCTTCCAATTTTTAAGGGCAAAATCTTACCTGAAGAGCTTCCCAAACTAATTGTAAAAAACATTTAGGAGGGTGTGGTGGGATTTCGTTTGCTCCAAATACATTTCGCCTCTTTTCAAGTTCTGCCTCGTTATTGGGAAGACCATTATTGGGATCAGTTTTCAGCCTTTCACATAGACCCGCCGTTCCACCGTAATCAGTATCGATCTTTTCCTTGGCTTCGGCGCTCCTGAAATGAAAATGAGGTTTGAATTTCATTCTTAGAGTTATTAGACTTTTCTTCCCAAACAAAATAGTAAAAAAACAACTCACCTATACTCCATAAGGGCGCGGAGCTCCTCCAGTGATGCACCATAGTCGGGCATCTTGCTGAAAAATTAATAGTTTGAGGGAAAAAACAAAACAAATATTTCCCAAAAAACATATATAAATGCAATGATTCTAATATTTTTAGTGGGTAACCTCGATGATTTCTTTTCCGACGGAAATGTGATGACTCATGTTGAGAAATGACAAATGTATCTATCATAGTGACATTTTTTCAGCTTTACAGTTTTGAACACTTTCGAAAATAAAACTTTTTTGAGATCACACAGGATTTTTTATAAGTGAGTCAACCTACAGCAAAACTACAAGACGATAGCGAGTAAACGCGAAAAAATAGAACGAGAGAGAAAACAGAACAACAGAAAAGAGTCAGCGCAAAAACAACAACGAGGTTCTGTCATCAATGCTTTCAATAAAAAAGATCGATCAATAGTTTGATAACAACATTGGTTCGGTGGGATCCTAGAGAGCACTGATAATAAGGAGAGAGAGAGCATGTTTGTGAATCTGTGGTTTTATCATGTTTCAGTACAAGAACTGTACGTGTTTGTTTGTTGTGGCTGGCTGGTCTGACATATATCGAGTTAGAATATGGTTGGCTGGATTCTTTTGTCGAAAATAACGCGGCTTCCAGAAAAATTTTTTGCCTTTTTTAGTTCCAAAACGGCGAAAATAGGTGTAAGTGGAAATTGAAATTTTCGTATGAAACTGGTAATGTCACTATGGACATTTGGAATTATCGAAAAAAGAAAAGGCTCTCCATGCATGTGGCTGGCAAGTGGCGGAGAAGGAAAGGCATCTGCTGTTGTTTTTGAGGAGCTTCTCCTCGTTTTCCTTCATCTTTTTCAGTGTCCGTGTCTCCCCCGCTTACTCTCCCCGTCTTCTTTTTTTTGCTCTTTTCTGCGTGTTTCCGGCTAGAATGAGACGCAGGCAGCAAAATAAGTGAGAGAAAAATGAAAAAAAGCCTAATAGTTTTTTTTCTACATGACACCTTCAATTCCGACAAGAGATATGGTTTTTTACTAGGCTTTCAATATTTGAATAAACTCTTACCTGATTGACTAATGAAGCTGTTGAAGCTTTTTCCGCGTAGTTAAATTTGCACACAGATCTGAAAAATTGAACTAATTAAAATAACAAATAAAACATTTTGGGGAAAATATGCATAAAATTATGAAAATTTGCATATTTCAGAGGAGAGTACGGTGCGCAAATGTACGCAAACACCCTAGCGCACCGTACTTTTTCAATTCAATCAAGATTTTTTCGGAGCATTTCCATATTCAGGTTTTAAATTTATGAAATAAAACCCACATCTGACGCTTATTGGGCTCTTGTCTTGTTTTCAAAGAATTGATCAGAATGAGTTCATCATACAATTATTTGTCTCTCTACCTCTCTGAACCAGCTACTCTTTTATGCAGGTTTTGTCCCAATCGTTGATGAATCTGGAAACAAGAGAAAACGTAAAATCGAATGAATATTTAATTTTTGTGTCGGTTCGTTCGTATTGTTGAAAAATAAATTGAGAAAACCGACATGACAATAACAGAAAAACGGAGAAAAGACAAAATATCGTCTCGGGGTCTAGAAGCTTTCGGACGCAAAAAAGAAGAGACCCCCGAAAAGTTTAGTTTGCAAGTGGCAAAAAAAGATGAAGAAGACGAGACGAAGGCGAGAAAGAAGAAGAAGACGCCGTCGACGTCGTTTTCGTGTGAAAAACGCAAAAAAGTGACGGGTCGCCGGATAAGAAAAAAAAGAGTCCGACGTCATCAAAATTCTGTAAAGAATGTGGGAATCCTAAAGTGGTTAGGCTTTCTTTTAGTAGTCCAGAACGACTTTTGAGCTGATATCTCCAGAAGTTTCAAGAATTTTAAATGAAATCGTTAGACTTCAACACAGCACTTCAGAAACGCAATTTGGGACTAAAAATAGATTTTAAAACAATGATGGCTAGAGTAATAGGATCAGGAAATTGTGAAAAATTGCTGGGGAATGAAATTATGTCAATTCTATACAGAAATCGAAAAGGTTTTCAGAAAAGAGCGAATGCTTGAAATTTTTCAGCAACGAAAAAAAGGGGAACAAGGAAGAAAGGGAACACCGGTTGTTTTTCCTCAATTTTTTCTTATTAGGCCACACGACGTAGAAGGAGGAGAAAAAGGAAAACGAAAGCGATCTATATATTATATATGGTGTACATGGGCTTATGCTCTGAAGGGGACTGCTTTAACGTGTGAAGGATTATGAAAAAATATATGACTAGTCGCGCAGAGTTCTTCTCCCAGCGTCTCTTCATCTCTTGCTCCAAAAAAACGACGGGGATCGCTTTCTCAACAACTCGAGTCTGACTTGAATGAATTTGTGTGTGCATGTATGTGTGTACTGGAGGAGTTGGAGGAGGCAAAAGGAAAGGGAACGAATCGAGACGAGAAGACAGAGTCGCTCTTTTTACGGGGCCTTGCTCCAAAAAAGACGTCGTCGTCGCTTCTCCTTGTGCTCTCCGTCGCAGAGTCCCTTCGCTTCGACGACGACGAGAAAAGCGCTCCCACACACACAATTCAATGGGATTTGGAATTGGTCCAATTGTATGTATGAGAAAAGAGAAGAAGACTGAGAAAGAAAAAAAAGGAGAGGCTATTCCCTTCCTTGAGAGGAAAAGCCCAACGACGTCTTCAAGAGAAAAAAGGCGAAGAAAGAGGAAGAGATGACGAGCAAAATGAGCGCAAAGAATGCATTAAATTTTGCAGTTCATAATTTTAGTAGAATAGCAGAAGTGCATCCACTTTTCTGTATTTAAGTCATTTGTTCTCAAAACGCAGTTACTAAAAATTCTTCTAATCAATCAGATAAAAATCTAAATTGAGTATATTGTTTCTTTAACCTCGAAAGCAAACTTTTGTACAAAAGTTAACGGAGAGTTGAAAGTTTGCCCCGAGCCGCCTGCAACCCCAAAACGCGCCAAAAACTTTTCATTGACAGTTTCGAATTCGGGCCCCGTCTGTCCTGTCGTATTTGCTTTTTAAAAAAGAATTGGGGCGGCGAGGAGGAGAAGGTTGCCACCACAGCAGTGCAAACTTTGCATTTTAAGAAGGTAAAAAAGGGACATTAGTGGTGGAGAAGCATTAAAAAATACATCGGGAGAAAACTATTTTGTATTCGAAAGTTCGATTTGAGAGCGATTTCTCGGAATCTAATGTTGTTAAGCATCAGAAATGGTTGAAGATTACAAAGACCACTGAAAAGCTAACTTCTTACAAGCTACTCAAACCAAGCAACCAAAAAATCAAAAACAAAATTTTTTTAAACTAGGAAATGAAAGCAAGTCTGAAAATGAATTGACATCCGAGACGTCTTTCTCTCTGAGAAATATGGCTGCCATCGAGGTCCTTCTCTCTCTCTCATTCTGTGGCCGTGGCAAGGGGCAAAGTGGAAAGAGTATGTGAAATGAAAAGAGAACAGACAATCAGAGAAAAAGAAGGGGCCAACAACTGACATCCGATACTACTCGACAAGTGCACATTTCCAGGCGAGGGACCTTTTTGTGTGTGAGAAGATGATGAAGAAAAAAAAAGAAGAGGAAGAAAAAAGCGGCCGAGATTCGATGGGTACGGCAATCACAATGGGAAAAAATAGGAGGAAAAAGATTGGATCAGTTTCACATGCCGTCCGAATTTACGACTAAGATCATTACCAGATGGTAGGTGACTAGATGAGCAATCAAAAAAGTGGATGAATCGGAGAATCGGATGAAAAAATGATCATAAAAATCAGATACACCAAGTAAATGTAGTCAATTAAAACTAGGGATAGACGATGGTCCCAGTATTAAATTCCTAAAAAATTACTGGCAAAATTCTGGTTTCTTTTTTCAGAGTGTCTATTCAACTTACAGGCTTAGCAGGGTTGAGGATCTATCCGGGAGACCTGAAATAGAATGGCTCAAGGTTGAGTTCACTTATCTCAATTCCTATTCAAGATATCAAAAATGTGTCAACTGACAAAAACTTATCATATTATCATAGACAATTTATTAGTTAACAATTTTTCTACATCTTTGACAGGAACCGAGAAAAACTGATCCAAAGTTAAAAAATGGGTGCCCTGCTATTCTAGACGTTTAGAAGCTCCAAATCTCAAATCTTAAATTTCAAACTGATAGCAAACAAGAGAACAATCAAACATCATCGTTTTCTGTTGATCGGCAATTCTGAGCATGTGTTCAACTCTAAGTTTACAAAATCATTTGGCTTTTTTGCAAGAAACAAGAAACCGCTCGATCAACGAACCTTGTTGAAAAATGAAAAATGACGCCAGTCTCCACTATTTTTTCTTTTTTCTCTATTTTGTAACACTGTGTATTTGCCTAGTCTCACCTAGAACTTTAGCCTCTCTTTTCAATCCACCTACTACTACTGATTTCAACAAAATGACGAATTTCTACCTCTCTTTTCATTCCAACTACATTCTGGTTCCAACACATTTTTTTGTAAAAAAATTTAATTCCAATGATGATTCTATCCGGATTCTTGAGCAAAAAAAAATCTCACTATGACGCCCACAAAGTTTGCAAGCTCACCAACAAAATTTAATCGTGTTAAATAGATGTACCGGCATTTTGTAAAAAAAAAGAAAAAGAAATGCCTCCAGAAAGAAATTGTCAGCGATAACACAGTTTTCTGAAAACCGAAAATTGATTTGTGGCAAAATTTATGTCCCCTTATCAGTTTTTTTTCAGTCTTCAGGACTTTTCATCTGAAAAACTCACAGTTTAATACTAGACTCATTTTGAAAAGTTCTGACTAAAACCATTATACAACAGTCACAAATCAGTAACATTTCAGGTTGAGATTCTGGGAGAGAAGGGAGAGAACTCAAAGCATACCGCATCTCTTTCTTTTGGAAATTCATCACTCTTGGCTCCGCCCTTTTTTCTGTGGGTGCATGTGTCACCCACGTAGCCCAGCTTAAACGAAATACATACATATATAACTCGTTTTTGTCATGATGCTCGGGGTCGACTGCTACTGGTGATGGAAATTTTGGGCGGCGCGAAATTGAAATATAAATGGATGTATGTGAGCTCTTTCTCCATGAAGCAGAGGAGCACAACAAAATTGATGGGCTAGAAAACGGAGTAGATGAATTGGGGTCCATTGGAATAGAAAGTTCACACCCTTCAGAAGAAAACGACGGTCAACCATTTGTCAAGAAAAGAAGAAGGGTTATCCTTGACATTTCAGAGAAACGAGAGTAGTTTTTTTTTTTGGTTTATCTGGGCGAGCAGATCTTTTAAAGTAATTGGTTTCAGCTTCACACAGCAAGGAGAAGGATGGAAAACCAGGGAGGGAAATTCGCTGGGAAATGGCAAAGATGCAAGATTTATAGATGTCGTGGTGATGCTCTTCTACTACTACTACTACTTCTATTTTTTGGGATAGATTGAATTTGAAGATTCCTATGCGTGTGCACCAGGAGAGGAAGCACTCACAAAGAACAAAGAAAATGGGTTTAGAGGAAAAAGGAGAAGAGAAAAAATGATGGAGACGAGGAGGAAAACAATTAGACTTTTAGTTCAGTTCAATTTATAGTTCACAGTTTTTATAGTTCGAGGCAAAAGAAATGACATCATTGAGGTGTGAAGAAGAAGAGAAGGTAGGACAACCAATAAAATGACCTCAAAATTAGAATTCTCCTTCTTTTTTCTTTTGAGATCCAATCTTAAAGAAAGAATCGAGATGAGTTGTTTTAAATCTATAAAATACCATGGACACGGTTAGATGAGTTACGGTTTTCCAGTTCACAAATCATCAGGAAAAGAAACAAAAGGTATTTTTTTAGATGTAACAAAAAACAAGGAAATTATAGATGATATGGGATTTCTCCTATTTTAAGTTAGACTTGTGAACCGGGCCCTTGGCGCGCGATTGGTGGGTCCTCCTTCGCGAGACTTGTAATAGTTTCTTTCAGACTCAATAGTTTTGTACCAACTAAATTGGATATTATATAACTTGACGAGTACTACAAAATTATACTATTTCAAAAATTATATCTTGTCTATGAACAAAGTTACAGGCGAAACAGGCCAAAACGACAGGCAGGGCCCGGATCGGCGGCTTTATAGCTTAAAGGGGGACTCCGACCAAAAATTTTTATTGCATTAAATTGTGTTAAAAGTTATCTATTTTCCGAATATTATTGCGAAAAAATTCAAAAAAAAATCCGAAATCCCCGAAAAACGGCGTTGAAAAGGAAGAAAATTCAAAAAAAGGTGCCGCCGGGGGACGAGGATTTTCAGTGAGAAACCTAGGCCACGGCACCTGACAGCCTTTTTTTCAAGTCGCCGACAGTGGTTTTTTACGTTTTTTACCTGCCGGACATGAA